TGGGAATCAAACCTATAAACCTCTGTGCCTGCAGTGAATGGGGAAACACTTCAGTCTCAGCCATTTAATCACTGCAGAGGTTACAGGTCAAAAAAAGAAAACTATAATAAAGGAAATCGTGACAGTGGAAAAGTTGGAGGGGAAAGAGACACAGGGAGACACAGAGAGAAGATACTGGAAGTCTGACATCATAGCATGGAGGAGCATCTGTGTAAGAAGAAACAATCAAAGGTATACAGGCAGAACATTTAAACAATAATGAGCAACCCTTTTTTTTTTATTATTAAAAGTCCCCCCCCCCCCTTTTTTTTTTAAAGGCTGCTTATTCCTTTTCTCTTTCTAAGTGTAATTAAAGAAACTATGTACAGTGACAGAGACCTTATATGTAGTGAAAAAGACCCTGTCGGTAACGAAATAAAACCAGTGTGATATAGAAGAGATCCAGTGTGTGAGTAATGAAAGACTGTGTACATAATGACACAGAGCCTATATGCAGTGGAAGAGACCTTGCAAGTATGACTGAAACTCTACATGTAGTGAAAGAGACCTTGTGTGTATGACAGATACCCTATATGTAGTGGAAGAGACTGTGTGTGTGTGTATGACAGAAACCCTATATTAGTGGAAGTGGCCGTGTGTGTATGACAGAAACCCTATATGTAGTGGAAGAGACCTTGTGCATAATGACAGAAACCCTATATGTAGTGAAAGAGACCTTGTGCATAATGACAGAGACCCTACATGTAGTGAAAGAGACCCGTTGTACAATGAAAAGAGACCCAGTGCGATATGGAAGAGGCCAACTGTGAGACCCTTTACAAAGACTTCAGTAGGCACAGCTGTACAGTAACAAGATGGTATCCACCTCCTGGCTTCCACTCCTCTCGCCCTCTCCTTCATCAGTGTTACTATGTCTGTTCACCCTATGTACTTGACTGCCTTGAGAAGGAAGGACAGTGCCGATGTGAACTATGGTCCTCCATGCAGGTTTAACATTACAGGGCTGGTCTCAATGAACTTGAGTTCCACATATGTAAAATGTGAGGACGCATCTGTTTCTCTTTTCCACAGTTACCTAACTCCTCCCTCCCCTATTCTAAACCATTCACTTACCTTACCCGGATGTTGAAGTCTATTCACCTCCCTCTTTCTCCCACCTCCGTCCCCCTCTCTCTCTCCCACATCCTCTCTATGACTTTCTCTCTACCAACCCCCCCCCCCTTTCTATTTCCCGCCCACCCCCCCCCCTACTTTTTGTCTCTCTACCTTATTTGTGTGTGTCTGTTGCCCCCCCCCCCCCCTCCATACAGAGAGAGAGGAGGAGAGAGAGAGAGAGAGAGAGAGAGGAGAGAGAGAGAGAGAGAGAGAGAGAGAGAGAGAGAGAGAGAGAGAGAGAGAGAGAGAGAGAGAGAGAGAGAGAGAGAGCAATTCTCCAGCTTAAACATTTAACCCTGTAGCTGTCGATTCCGTTACTTGCACAAATGCACTTTTAAAATTTTCAAGCAAGGTAAGAATGTGGGATGAGGTGAGGGGAAAAAATAAAAATGTGAGAAGGAGGGGAGGAGAGGGAAGTGACAGAGATAAAAAACGCCTCAAGACAAAGAAGTGAAGAATCTAGTCCAGAAATAGCAAGAGACGTGCAGGAGGCTGGCTAGTGGAGAACCAACACCGCACGTGTTGCCTGCATGACAGCACAAAGAGCAGGCGGTAAGCCAGGTAAGCGGAGGGTGAGGGCAGATCACGGAGCTGTCTCAAAGGTCACAAGGTGACCGGCTCAGTCAGCAACAAGAAACAGGAAACATTACGTGGCTGGGCTCTCTAGTAACAGACACACCTGGCTGCAAGGAGAAACACACGCTCGAAGGCTACAATTTACACCACAGAATCACTTCCTAATCACCAAAGAATGAGTGCTAGGTCAACACAGAATTATCTCCATGTCAACATAGAATCACGTCCAGAACATCACTGAATCGTCACCAGGACAAAGCAGAATCACCTCCAGGACAAAAGGAAACACCTCTAGGACACCACAGAATCACCTCCAAGACACACAGGAAACACCCCCATGACACCACAGAATCACCTCCAAGACACACAGGAAACACCCCCATGACACCACAGAATCACTTTCAAGACACATAGGAAACACCCCAAGACACCACAGAATCACCTCAGGGACACCACAGAATTATCTCCAAGACAAGAAATACCCCACAGGACACCATAGAATCACCTCCAGGACACAGAGGAAACACACCCAGGACACCACAGAATCATTTCTAAAACAAAGGAAACACCCCCAGGACACCACAGAATCACCTCCAGGACACAGAGGAAACACCCCCAGGACACCACAGAATCACCTCCAAGACAAAGGAAACACCCCCAGGACACCACAGAATCACCTCCAAGACACAGGAAACACCCCCAGGACACCACAGAATCACCTCCAAGACACAGGAAACACCCCCAGGACACAATAGGCCTTAGAATCACCTCCAAGACACAGGAAACACCCTAGAATCACTTCCAGGACTGGACAGTCCACCAGACCCACCCAAACTGGACTACAAATCACGCTGTAACCATCATGTGGTGCCCGAATGTAACTGCACCACAGGGTTGAACCGGGTTCCCGGATTTGTACCAGTTTGAGTATCATCCCTGAGATGTTAATCCTGCAGAACGCACATCTGGAGGAAACATAACAACCACGAATACCAAGTAACACAGGACAGACTTTCCAACAATGAACCAAAGGATCAGGATGTGGAGGGCTCGAGCATATCTCAAAATATGTGCTGATAAGAAACACCCACTGCATCAAGCGCTTTTTAGTGAAAAGGGCGACAGACTGAAGAGGGGGAAATCGTGGCTAGGTCGGGCAGAAGATATTAGGCAAATATGCAGCCTAACCGACATCATACTGGTGCAGAATGGATACCTGTGCCTCAGGCGTTTATTTGTACATTTTCCTGTATTGTCACACTCAACAGGCGATGTAGAGAAGAGAATCATGTTGCTGTTAATGCGAGAGGTCAGCGCTCTCATCGGTGAAAAGGGTCAGCAGATGCAATATCTATACGACGGATCCGTTATACGCCAAAGAAGAAGCGCATGGGCATTTACAGCACGCTCAGCGGGCAGAACAGTCAAAGAAGCCAACGGCGCCTTCTCCATGACAACCAGCAGCATGGCGATGGAGGTGATGGCAGTGACGCAAGCTCTTGCCTGGCTTGAAACACAAAAATACACCCGCGTGTGTATACTCAGTGATTCAATGAGTGTGATCCGGAGGGTTCAGGCAGGTTCAGTGCGAAGACAATGGCTTGAATCATTACAGAAGTCCACAAATTTGGAGTTAAAAATCTACCAAAAGTATTTCATGATCCTCGCCGGTGCTATGGAGTTCGTGCACTGAGCTGAGATTCTTCCGACTCAGGCTCGAGTTAGAAACAGAAAGGAGCAGTTACACTGCGATCTATGTTTAGTTCGGTTTTATATCTTTTCATTTATTATTATATTTACCCGGCACAAAACCGGGGCCGTTGCGGTAGACGCTCGCCTACGGACTGGAGGGCCGTGTGTGCGGGTCCCGGCGGAGTCACAGATTTATAAATTACTAGCTTTTAGTGGGTGGCAGGTAAGGGGACGTAGACAAGGCAAGTCACACGAAACGGCCGTCAAATGAAAACCCATAAGCTGCGATCTAATGCCAGCGGTGTTTCTAGTAGGGTGTTATCTCCGTGTTCAATGTTGGAAGTTATGTTTGTGGACAGATGGGCGCGTGTTTCTTCACAACAGAGGCAACAACTACTCCTGTCGTAAACGTTATCGCCAAGGTGACCTGCAGAAGACCTGACTTCAACGGTCACATATGAAACAATAAGACTGTAGAAGATAAGTCATACTGGCACACTGTGAGTGAGTAAGCCAAACCCGCATTCTTTACCTCAATAAAACATGTGTGGATCAATTTCTCTTCCCCCCACTCCCAACATATTTTATTTACTCGACATTCAGCACTGTGTGTGTGTCTCTCTCATTAACAACATGAATTCTCTTAAGACGAACAATCGGTTAACATATTAACAAAACTGTGGTCCCAACACGGAGGTATTATTGCTATTAGTACCAATCAACAAGTATTTAACACAAATTCAATTTTTGGCCATAAGAATTCGTCTTAACGACGTTTTACTATATACATTATGCACTTAAACCCTGATTCACAGGCCCCTAAGAAAATTTAGTTGAACAGCCTTGTCTTACATCATCACGACTGCCGAAACATGTTCTGCCATTCCCGACATCCGGAGCCCCTGCTTTCTTACCAGTATTCTGTTACTGTGCAGCACATTCTCCAGGCCACGGCTGAAAGAGTTCGTCAGAAGTCGCAGACGTGCAACCCCCAGTGCAGCCGCACCAGTTTCCGCAGAAATGTCCAGGATAGGTGAATGTGTGCCGCCCTGTTGTAGGGGCGCGCAAGCTTCCTAGCATAGCCATCTTCCCCTGCTTGTTGGGTCAATCTTACAGTCACTGCCGGATCCGCCGCCTCCTTCGCTCCGATCAAACTCTGGGACCTACTGACCCACTCACCCTCGCAGCAGTTACATCGTGAATGCAAAGACCCATTTGTTACAGGGTCACATGGCACCACACCAGCCACTTTTACTTCCTGGTACTTTTCCTGATGCACACAGGGGTTGGAACGACCCTAAACATTGCAGTTGGCGGGGCAAGCCACTAGGCCACCACACTACTGCGAACCCAAATTAGAAGAAGACGTTTGCATTAATGCAAAGTAAAATAGCAGGGAAAATTAAATACTATTTTTTTGGGGGTTAGAATCAGGCACCTCAACAAATGTTCGAAAGATTGAACATGGATACAAACTAGATAACAGTTAACAAAGTAGCCATACCACAGATACAAGTGAACTGACACTAACAAGACACACACACACACACACACACAAAGAGCAAGACTGCACTCACCGATCTCGGTAGCAAGACCAGTTCCAATGACGATGCCACGACATTTTCCGGCGGCAATGTTGGTTCCCTGGTTGGAAGTACAAGCACAATCAACAACACACTGGGGGCAGGGAAATTATTCATCTCTAACTCTGGCTATCAATTCAACATTACAGTGGAAGGAGGGAATCACACATCTTCTTCTTCCTTGTTTGCCTGCTGTAAGCTCTGGCAGAAAGTCCTGGTTGTTCGTCAACTCTAGTTTTCACCCACAAAGGAGCTCTGGAACCTACACGGGGGAATCATACATCTGTAGCTCTATCTATAAACAACATAGCTCTACCTACGAGGTTAGCCAACTGACCAGTGGAAGGCTACCTGTTTGTTGAGGAGATCCTCAAGAATCATCTTGTTGACTGCTCTCTGCTGACAGTTGATAGTGGTCGAAGAGATAAGGGTTTGCAAAGGGAATGGATACAGGAGGGAGGTGAGGTGGCAGAATGGTGAAAGAGGAGAAAGTAGAGAAGTCATACATATTTGGTTAGAAAAATATGCAGATATTCCCACGAAATCTAACATTTTGGTGTGATTTAAGATATATCCACCATAAATACATAACTTGTCTAAAAACAAACACATGGACAACCCCAACTCACCCCCTCCACCTTTTTTTCCCTCAACTATCTGGTCTGTCACATACAGAGACACTTCCATGACACCAAACTAACTGGTCTGTTACATACAGAGACACTTCCATGACACCAAACTAACTGGTCTGTTACATACAGAGACATTTCCATGACACCAAACTAACTGGTCTGTTACATACAGAGACATTTCCATAACACCAAACTAACTGGTTTGTTACATACAGAGACACTTCCATGACACCAAACTAACTGGTCTGTCACATACAGAGACACTTCCATGACACCAAACTAACTGGTCTGTTACATACAGAGACACTTTCATGACACCAAACTAACTGGTCGGTCACATACAGAGACACTTCCATGACACCAAACTAACTGGTCTGTTACATACAGAGACACTTCCATGACACCAAACTAACTGGTCTGTTACATACAGAGACACTTCCATGACACCAAACTAACTGGTCTGTTACATACAGAGACACTTCCATGACACCAAACTAACTGGTCTGTTACATACAGAGACACTTCCATGACGCCAAACTAACTGGTCTGTTACATACAGAGACACTCCATGACACCAAACTAACTGGTCTGTTACATACAGACATTTCCATGACACCAAACTAACTGGTCTGTTACATACAGAGACACTTCCATGACACCAAACTAACTGGTCTGTTACATACATACAAAGATATTCCAATCCATTACATCAATCTAGGTGCTCAGACAGATATTCAAACAAAGATATTCCCATCATGCCTAACTAAAGCCGCCCAAACATACAATTACACCCCCCCCCCCTACATTCTGACCTTACTTCAAGAGAACCTGCAGGATTCAAGAGACACAGCCGACTGCCTGGAATTACATAATCACAAGCTCAAAAGCTCAATCTGGAAAACATGCAGCCACACACACAATCAAATCTATAGAGCAGGCTGACAATTGGCCTGATCACCGTGCACCAAAGAGCACTGCTACTGGCCCTGATGAGCTCTAATGATGAATGTCTAAGCCACTTTACCTGCTCGCTGTCACAGTGCAACTTCAGCTACTTCCTTCTTGCTGCTGCAGCACTAATCCATTATTATCAATCTTATTCTGTAATGTTTATCAACTCTTTTCACAACTGGTGTTTATTTCTCTTTCTTGTGCTCCTATTTATAGGTATAGCTATTTACCATTTTGATTCCAAATAACAATGAACCAAAAGAAAAACAAGACATAGAAAATTAGTTGCATATCCTTTACAGGAGTTCTGAAACAGATGACATGGTTTGGTCAAATAAAAATAATGCCCTACTGCTGGTTGTCAAAGACAGCCAGGCTAAAGAAATATCATTAACAAACAGCAAGGGAAAGACCATACAAAATATAGAACGACTACAACATCAAGAGCAGCTTTAAAAACAATAAAGAAAAACATACACAACTCATCAGAAAGAGCACATAGAAGATCCTTACATCTGCTCCCAACACTGTGATGAGGTAACTGGAGGCAGAGGAGGACCAATGGATCTTGACCACATAACAATATCTAGCTAGTACCACATACACCTGAAGTGACCTTGGCTGGTCAGCAGGAGACACCAGGTGTGCCTCTGCCATGTGCACATAACATAGAAATACTTACAGAAAACAAGAGGTTCTTCTTGTCCTGGTTGACAGCTCTTGGGTCGGGGATGGCGTCAGTGTGTTTGAGAACACTGACACTCTCACCTGGAGAAGGGCAGGCAGGTCAGAGGTCACTAGCTCAAAGAGCTGACAGATACAACTACAATAAATGTTTGGTCGTATCACTGAACAGTGGTAGAATACCAGCTTACTTCCAATGAAGTTTTATCTACAACATCAACTCTTCTTCTTCCTCGCTTTAATTGGCTGTAAACTGTGGCAGAAAGTTCTGGTTACCTGTCCACTTCTGGACTTTGGTCTTGTTCCAGAACCTTAGTGAATGCATGCATATTCGTTTTACAGATCTGGCAAATTTACATGCAGATGTTGGTTTCATGCCTCTCCTGCAGATGCAGGAAGCTCCTTATTAGTTGACTCTTGCAACATGCTTGTTAAGCATGACCCCCCAACCACCACCACCAAAATGGGCCCCAGGAACTCATAAGGGGAGTATATTTTACCCTAATGTCAACTGACTAAGTTGGAGCGGAATAAAGTCAGCCTCTCTCTCAACCTTTTTGTCTCTCTCTCTCTCTCAACCAATGTGTCTCTCTCTCCCTATTTATCTCAGAAGTTAATGTGTTCCTTCAGTCCAGTCCCCTGCACCATAGGTGACAGATGTAACAATCTCCTGGCATGTCCACCCTTCCATGTGACCAGCCCAAGACGCCTTCTGTGTCCTCATTCCTTGACTTCTGTGGTATATACAGCGTTAACAGCTGCATTACCTAGCACCAGGAGCAAGACTTACTTAAATCTGTACAAAACAGATGCCAGTCATGTGACAAACAGTAACCACATCAGATGCCAGCCATGTTACAAACTAACCACATCAGATGCCAGTCATGTGACAAACAGGGACCACATATAGAACAGAAAGACACAGCTACTCACCAGTAAGAATGGCCTGGTCTACCCTAAGTGTGGTGGAATGGATCTTGAGAATTCGAATATCTGCAGGAACCTTGTCACCGACTGTAAACAAGAAGATAATGTTTACACATTAATTTTTAACCAATAGTTCAGATCCCCAAAATTGACAATAATTTGTTTTTTAAATGACATGGGCTCTGAAGCAGTCTTAAATTAGAACCGGAAAATACAATAGGAAATTCTTATGCAGCAACCTCTACTCATCTGCATAAACTGGGATGTCGTGTTAAGGTCTCTCAGGTTTCCCCCAAAGCTTAGTTGTCAAGTCTACTGGGTGTGGCCACGTGTTTCTCAGCTCCTCCAGGAGAGGACAGTATCGCAAGACATGATCTGGAGTCTGTTCAGCATGAAGACACTGGAAAAGAGCTGTTTGGCTTATACCTAATTTATATGAGCATTTGAGGAGTCTGCAGTGTCCAGCTTGTAAGCGTCAAAGCTCGTGCAGGTTTTCTATGACAACAACACCCAATGAAAGCTCATCAATCCTAAACAACTATGAGAATAATAATTATGGGGAAATGAGAATAATAATTATGGGGAAATGAACTATAGGAAAAAGAACTATGGCACGGGTACCATTTACCCAGCAAGCCACAGTAACATACTGACCAGATGCTCACCTTCTCACCCGCAAGTTCAGGGTTTAAATCCCCATTGTGAAAGCACAATAATAAAAAATGATGATTTATTTTAATTTACAGAAAGCAATGTGATACTGACAAAATAACTGAAGGAACACTGATTAGTAAACAAACTAACACAATAAATACATATATATCAGATGCACACATGCACAACACATCTACTGGCATGAAAAGGTGCCATGTGTGTGTGTGTGTGTGTGTGCGCGCGAGTATGTGTGTATGCTTTGTTGGTCCTATTCACATTTCCCCGCCCATCTACACACTTTCTCAGTCTGGCCTAGGTCAGATGGGTGTCACGTTGTCCTGTTTTCTTCTAAAGGAGTCTCTTGTGCGACCTAAGCTCAGACTGTAGGTATGGGGAAAGAGGGGGGGGGGCACAGTTCTAGATGTGTGGTCGTATAGTATAAAACACGCGACATCGGTGCCTCTGTAATTAGAGACAAGACAACGTGACACCCCTCTGGGCTAGACCAGACTGAGAAAGCATGAATCCAGTGTGTAGATAGACCGGGAAACGTGAATATTACCTTTTTCCTAAACCGCAAATAATGGCCAAATGAAAACTAAATGTTTGTGGTGTGTTTTTACATATTTTAAAGAAATCCTACAAGGACACGATTGTTAAAAAGGTTACATGCCAAATTTTAACAAGTGAAATCAAACGGCTCCTCAGCTACAGATTATAAACATTAGACACAACTGCTGGGATGAATTACAATCCTCAAAACAGCGGCTGGCTACGTACATCACTGTTCACTTATCACTATCTCTGATAAAATCTGCTGCTCTGACCTGCAGCTATGACAGTTTTGATCTCCTGTTCAGTCACACAAGACATGCGTGCATATAGGTCACACACAACAGTACTGTGCATGGGACAGGAAGCTTATGCGGGCCACATAAAACAACAGCAGCTTATATTTGTTAGTTAGTTAGTTGGGTTATCGTCATTGCACTCCGGACATGTCCATAGGTGCTCAGATCCTCCCCTCAGTATGAACCCCAACGTCCGATGGCTAATAGTACCAGTTCTATGTTGATTAACAAGTCTTCTGACGTGTCCGGTGTGCGTCTCGTTTTTTGCTGTGCCGATCTTAATTCCCAAGTCTGCCATTCTGGCGAGTGATGTGGATTCACTGCCACCAAAGTCCTCTATCCTTCCCATTTCTCTGAGGGCATTGATAATATCAGCGTGATCCATAGGCCGACCGTCGGTAGTGATAGCGGATCCAGCCAACCTGTCAGCTCTTTTATTTCCATCGACGCCTGCGTATCCCGGAACAAAAATAAAGGTGACTCCACGCACAGTGGACTTCTGTAACGATTCAAGCCATTGTCTTCGCACTGAACCTGCCTGAACCCTCCGGATCATACTCATTGAATCACTGAGTATACATATGCGGGTGTATTTTTGTGTTTCAAGCCAGGCAAACGCTTGCGTCACTGCCATCACCTCCATCGTCATGCTGCTGGTTGTCATGGAGAAGGCACCGTTGGCTTCTTTGACTGTTCTGCCCGCTGAGCGTACTGTATATGAGACACAGCAAGAAAGCAGCGTATATGAAAAAAAGGCTGCAGATATTTAGTTGAAAGAGCCCGCCTCAAACACTGCCTTTGATTTTCTCTCTCCTTAAACCGCCGAAAATGCCTTGGATGAGGATGTGAAGTTCCATCTATTTCCCAAACGGGTACAAGTTATCACAGATTCAAATAATAACACTGAGTTCTTAAAGTACCATGTCATGAATAATTCCACTTTTAACTACACAAAACTCTATTATATCAGGAATATTTAACTGGTGGCCAGCGAAGGCCTTAGGCGGTGGCCCGCGGATCAGTGCCAACTGTACATTAGTGATCTCCCTAGGCTGGGGATGGAGCTCGGGCCCGCGACAATCCCCATTTTCAACCATGGTGGTCGCTGAGAAAGCGTAGCTGTTATGTATAACTCACACAATCGTTTGGTTTGGTTCCTTTAAGATCAACACAATTAAATGCCTGCCGAAAATTGAACAATCTTAACAATTTTGAAGGTCATAATTTGTGTATGGCCCCTCACTGATGTTGTAAATTGCTTCTGGCAGACACCCCCCCCCCCCCTCTCTTTCCCTCCAGTGTAATCAACAGGAAAACATGAGAGCCTGTCAAAATTTCCATTACACAAACAAACAAGGAATGCTTGTCATAACAACACGCCCCCCCCCCCTCCCCCACCTCAGTAACTAATGTTGTAAGCCTGACGCATACTCCATGTTTCTCTGTTTTCACTAATGTCTAGCAACTTTACCACAGCTCAACTGAGTTTATTTACACCACACGGCCAATGGGGCAAGTGCTGTTGCTGTCCGTGTTTGTCTTGGCTGTCATCAACAGCGCTGACAGGTCAAGGCGTACAGGGGATTACTTCACAGCCACAAGGACATGGCAGGTACAATGAAACAGCACAGACGGAACAAGGGAAACCAGCTGTATATGTGTGTGTTAAGTGGGTGGGGGGGGGGGGCGGCAACATAGAGACGTGTGAGGTGACTGCAAGACTGTGAAACAATACAAAGTATATAAGCAACACCAACTGTATCCACGAGTATCATGTGATGGAACTAGGAGAGAGAGAGGGGACAGACAGAAGAGAGAGAGAAGAGGGGAGAGGGGACACACACAGAGTTAACTGTCTCAGGGCTGGTCACCGAAGAAGTATAACGTTTTTCTGTTAGTTTCACTTTGTCATTTCAACACCCGTACTGCCACACAGGGAGGCTGCAGGCTACTGCAGTCGCTCCGTCGTAAGGTTAACTTCTGTAAGAGACAGAACAGGGATCTATAGACTTGACACACGCACAGAATGAGTGAGGGCTGCACAATCTGCTTTATTTCCCTGTCAAATCGCAGTCACCTGAGCACATGCTGCAGAAAACACACAGCCAGTGGGAAGAGGCATCCAGGACACATTTTAGGAACCCCTTGGAGGCTTGATGGTGACGTGCCGGTTTATGGAGGCAATACAACTAATACAATAAGCATTTAATACCGATAGAAGGATGGGACGAAGAAGGAGAAGGGGGAGGAGTGGAAGAAGAAGAAGAAACAGAAGAAGATATATGACATTTTGTCTGTTGGTGTGCTACCCAGGATGGGACTGAGTCTCGGGGTTGGGTTGGGGGGGGGGGGTCAAACCTTCAGGTAGTAGCTCGGAGAGGCAACAATAGACAATACAGCAGCTACACACAACATTTAGTAGCCTCAGCAAGAGCAAACGTCTCACATCACTTGTCAGTTGGTACGAAGGTCTTGAGTTCAATCCGTTAACAAAAATTGCCCCAAAACGCTCAGACAGACTCTTTTAACTGGGTACCAGAAAACGTCCTAGAAAGTAAACGCGGCTGGCGTCATGCTGTCCATATCCTTCATCCGGTGCCATTCATAATCTATAAATATGAATTGAACACCATATGCCCGGCTAGCCGAAGGAATAAAAAGGGCCCTTGTGTTTAAACATCTGACCACAACCCTAGAGACACACATCCAGTCTGGGACCACTGAGCTCCCAACTGGCAAGCAATGCACCAACGTCGGTGCGAAGCAGCAAGGATACAGTATATGTCAGCAACGATCTGAGAAATAATAACATGACTGCATGACTTAGGTCAGTAAACACGGTGAAGCACGTCTATGTCGTCTTAGAGTCCGAGACAGAAGAAATTATAACGAGTTATTCGTGGGGCTTAGGCGTATCGTAATGCCAGGGTGCCCGGTTCGATCCCAGCTGCGGGTCTTGCGTCGGTTTCGACAGTGGTATCGAGAAGAACCGTCCAGAAAGCAATGGTCAACTACTGGACGTAAACTTGCCTAGAAAAACCACAACAGCCAAAATATGCTAGGTATGGTCTGACACGTTATGTAAAGGATACGCAACTTACTCTATTCGTTGGAAAAATCAACAGACATACCTTGAAGATACTCTGCTGCATCGAAGGAATGAGTACACACGACCTTATGTGCAGTGACCTCAATTGTGATACCATTATATTACTTAAGCCCCACACTGAGAGCCGCTGCTCCAATGTTTTCGTCTGACTGTTGTTTAAGCCATTTAGATTATTTTTAGCCCCCGAAACTTTTCTAGTGTACTCCGATAACATTCATCAGAACAATACACCACACGAGTCAAGTGCATGATAAGCCAAGCATGGCTGTTGAATGTAAGGCAGAAAGCAGCCAGGGCAGGAGATGTCCTATACTGACGTGCTTCAGACGACCCAGGTGTTGCCTGCCGGCTGTGTTAACGCATGGCGCCGCCTGATAGAACCAGTTGGTCCACGGCTCCAAAGGTGGTTCTGACATGATTGCTAGATTCTAAAACAGAACTCTCCAGCTGAAACTGAAAATTGTGCATGACACTTTATCTACGGTACCCTATTTGGGCAAGAGGGGTGGGGTGTGGGGAGGATATACATGTCGGTTAGCAGTGCATCTAATTAGGGATTATTAATAATAGGGTACTTTGCATCAAAAGGCGCAGATATCATGGTCTCACAACCACCCTTTTCAACAGTGACCTCAGAAAAACTGAACCATAACTGACTACCCTCTCGTGTGGTAAAGTGAAGGTCCCTTTTCCACGCCCTTAGGCGTATAGGGCATAGAGGGCTAGACACATATTTTTATAGAACAATCGGCACAAAATGGGTGGTGTGGTCACGGGACTGCACCCGGTACCCACTCAAGGCTGGGTCGACCTGGGAGTCAAAGTCATTTTTGAAGAAAAAAAAGTCCGGTTCCATCAGGAAGCGAACCCACGACCTTCCGATCCGCCCGCGAGTTTCTAGCCGCTACGCCACGGCGATTCCCTACTTATGTGGTTTGCAGGGCCCACATCTGTATTTTTTAGGAAGCGGGCGTATACCAACTACCTGCCTAATCTGGGATGCTTCCATCGAAGTCGGAGTGCATCTGTCTGAGAGACGAGGAACCAACAGTCTGCATGAAAGGTCAAAGTCCAGAAGTGGACGAACCACCAGAACCGTCGCTTGGAGGTTACAGCTAGGGAACACTAAGCAGAAGATAGGCCCTTGGTGTGTGTGGTGCCAGCTGGTGCTGACGCAGGAAACCTCCACTGTCTGGCGTTACCGACTCAGTCTACGCTGGCAGGCAAATTACAACAAAACTGAGCAGCAGGGGTCTGTGGTCGAGGCTGCTGGAAGGGCTACAAGCAGAATGATCTTGATACCTTAGGCGGTGACGGATTATGTAAAGAAGAGGGCCCTATAAGGTGGCGGTGCCGTGCTCCCTACAACTGGTTGGACAGGGCAGACATACTCAAGGCGCTGCATTCTAAAGACTTTGGAGTCGAAGGAATCAGAGACAATAGACAAACTGTTGAAAATTGGTATTAAACAAGGACAAGCTTACAGAAACAGGTTGCGGGGCAAAGACAGGTTATATTTCAATCAAGGCCTACTGGGTACGTTAAGCATGGAGACATTGAGATAGCTGATGTTTCGGAAGACGGAGCATGAATGGGTCGGACCGATGTGCTAGATGTCAATACGGACAACAAGAAACAAGTATTAAGTCTAACTATTTGTTAACTGCCTGCCTTTAAACGCACCAAGGATGCTGCAGTAAGACTACATCAGCAAATATGAAGGAAAACATATATTAGTGTGGGTAATGTATTCTCTATGGCGACGGACGTGACTGGCAAGACCCGCTCTAGTAAAGACAAATCTAAAAAAGTGTGTAAGATTTCAGGACCATCGTTGTCACATTTTTTGGGCATGTTTCTTCCAAGCCGCTCAGTTCTCAACTTAACTGCAATCCCATTCTCCTCTATCCCTATTTATTCCCTTACACACCCCCCCCCCCCCCCACCATCAATCACTCCATCAACTGACTGCCTCCTGCAGGTGTCCGTCTATGACAAACTCACCGACATTCAACTGCCCACCGCCCCAAGGCCCACAGCAGCTTGCTAGGATGCAGGTGAACGACCTGCACGCTACGCTTCCGGAAGTCTTACCAGTCTAAGTCGAACAGGTCACTGGTATGACTGACAGCACACAAGACAGAAGGTTGTGGACAGACATGACTACCAAAACCATATAACGTGGATTATAAGAGAGAAGAAAAGCACGTGTGTTTAATTACTTTACTAACAGATATGGGTCTGCGTCAGCGGTATGGGGTTGGTGCGTTGTGCTGGTGTCAGCTATGACAGAACACAAGCTCTTATGGAGGAGGTGACACCTAAAGGAAACAAAACAATCTGACAGTGATGGAGGTTTCAACAACTGGTGCAGCGCTGGGACCGGCCTGGCCTCATTACCTGGGTGGACGGAGGTGATTTCTCCGGGGAACCGACAGGGCGGCAAGTGTGGCTAGATGGGCACCCGGCTACGTCATTAGGTTAACGCCAGGTCTAATGAACCTAACACGTCAAATTCTCGCCAGGGGTGGGAGTGACAGGAGAAGCAAGCACAAGTGAAACAGTGACCGCGAGACACATGAGCGACAGGACAAGGCCTTTTGTAGGATATCTTACAGAAGGCCTTTAACAGGAACTGTCAGGGGGTCAGCAAACAAAAGGAAAGGGCATAAGATACAGTTAGTGACAGTGAAAGAGGCGCTCTGGGAGAAAGAGAGAGAGAGAGAGAGAGAGAGAAGCAAAGAGAGAGAGAGAAGGGGGAAGGACAGCGAGTTATAAGGACAGGGTGTGAAAAAGATAGTGGGGGAGAGAGAAAGACAGGAAGAGAAAAAGGGGGTGAGGGAGAGAAGCTGAGAGAGAGAGAAGCTGAGAGAGAGAGAGAGAAGCTGAGAGAGAGAGAGAGAGAGAGAGAGAGAGAGAGAGAGAGAGAGAGAGAAGCTGAGAGAGAGAGAGAGAAGCTGAGAGAGAGAAGCTGAGAGAGAGGGAGAGAGAGAGAGAGAGAGAGAGAAGCTGAAAGAGAGAGAGAAGCTGAGAGAGAGAGAAGCTGAGAGAGAGAGAGAGAAAGACAGGAAGAGAAAGAGGGCTGGGGGAGAGAAGCTGAGAGAGAGAAGCTGTGAGAGCGAGAGAGAGAGAGAGAGAGAGAGAGAGAGACGAGACAGCAAGGCCGAGCGAGAGAACAAAAGACATAGAAGCGAATGACTGTCTGACAGAGGAAAGTCATCAGAAGCAGAAGACTGGTGACCAATGGCGCAACAAACGACAACAAAGAACAGCCTTCAAACGAACGAAGAGCAACTAACATAAATAAAGCAGTAGAAAGCGCCCACAGCATACAACTGCACCCCCCCCCCCCTTTTCTAGCCACTAATTGAGCATAGGCCCTCAACCAACTCGCGCCCACAGCATACAACTGCACCCCCCCCCCCCTTTTCTAGCCACTAATTGAGCATAGGCCCTCAATCAACTCACGCCAACTAGTTTTATCCTTTGCTATCGCATGCAGCTATTCCCATGTCCTCCCCATCTTTTCTTCACTCGCTAGCTCCCTTCTGCGTGTTTTCTGTATGTTTTCCTTTATTCCTATGCCCTACTGGCTCCAGTGCAAAGATCTCTCTAGCTCCCTTCTGCGTGTTTTCTGTTTGTTTTCCTTTATTCCTATGCCCTACTGGCACCAGTGCAAAGATCTCGCTAGCTCCCTTCTGCGTGTTTTCCTTTATTCCTATGCCCTACTGGCTCCAGTGCAAAGATCTCTCTAGCTCCCTTCTGTTGTTTTCTTTTTGTCTTTCTTTATTCCTATGCCCTACTGGCTCCAGTACAAAGATATTCTAGTTATAATATTCTCAGATGTTTCTAAACATGTGTCCTGTCCTATTAAATACCAGCGTTTTTTCTCCACCTCTTGGTCCAGTGGAACTTGTTTAGTAAACCCCCAAAGCTTAACATTAGTGATTCTATCATTGCATTCTGTACAGTTGACCCATACGTCGTGTTTCTTCCACTGCATTTAGACAGTTCAAGCCATTTCACGCATACCCACAAGTCAATTCTGACGACTTCATGCCAGAAAACATCACTCCTTTTAGCTCAGACGCAATAGTGCTGATTTATCTAGAACCGCCTTCTAAAATTACTTACAGCTAGCGTCAGGCTGAAAATAAACAACATAACATCGTTTAACGGGCGCTGGCCGAAGTGTACATTGCTGCCTCGACGCGTTCGGTAGGTGATATCCGTCGGATCGGTTGGTGTGTGCCAGTATTTCACAAATAAATCACCACTTTCCTAACCCTGGATGTTGAGGATTAAAACATTGAGTGGCTGGGTCATACATACCGCAGATTAGAGCCGTTCACGGGGCCGCATAAGCGCAGTCGATACGAGACTCACTTTTAAACCCAGCTGCGACTAGCTGCAGCCCACGGTCGGTGTTCGAAACCGGGCGGTTCCCAGGGTTCACCCAGCCTCTAGGAAATGGGTACCAGAGTTTACACTCTGGGGTAAGTGGAGAAACGTCGCTGTAACTACAGAGTTGCCTGCGGACGGCGACACAGGCGGACAGTTTCTTATCAGAAATTTTATGGTTTATAGCTGTGTGCAATGACGCTGGTTCACATCTCCCGACTTTACCTTTTAGAGCCGTTTACCATAATCCTAACTACTGCTAACGTTTGTGACAAATGGGGAAAGGGGGGGGGGGGGGCGAAGGGAGGGTGTTTAAAAAGTGTATGACCCCAACCCCCCTCCCCCTTTTTTCGATCTGATACAAAAGTACCATCTTCTTCTGTGGTTGGCACGTTGTGTGTTGTGATTTATAGCAGGGTTGTGGTAACGAAGTCAGGCCCAGCTACACATGTTTGCTCAGGCTGGTCTACGTGATAGGGGTGTTAGGCGCATGTCGGCCTAATACATCCAATTTCAGCAAATCCTTAGCCGCTTTTGTGGTGGCGTTTGTCAAGCAGAAGTGGTCCACACACAAAAATTCTTAGGATAGTGTGGCCTACTGTAACGTAATAGTTGTCATCAAAAACTACAACGCCAACAATATTGACAAACAGGAATAACTCACCAACACACACAATACAACACAACATCAACAAACAACATCCCAGACTCATCAGTATCTTCAACATCATATATACATCAACAAACCACATCCTCGACTTACCAGACTCCTTAATAACATCAACAAATAACATTCTTGATTCACCAGACACCTCAATAACATCAACAAACAGCATCCTTGCCTCACCAGACACCTCATAAAAACAACAAACATCCTTGGTTCATCAGACACCTGGATAACATCAACAAACAACATCCCTGACTCACTGAACACCTCAATAACATCAAAAAACAACATCCTCGACTGACCAGACACTTCAATATAATCAACAAACAACATCCTCGACTCACCAGACACCTCCACGATGTCTCCAGGAACCACAAGACTGGCTCGAATCTTCTGGACACTCTTGCTGCCGGCACGGATCACCTTGGCGATCTCGGGCTCATACTCCTTGAGGGCCTCGATGGCGCTCTCGGCGTTACGTTCCTGTGTGGGGCAGAACAAGTGAAAGGCTAGAGTCTCTGAGTCGGCTACAGCTAGCAGGTCAAACATGCACGTGTCTTAGCCTTTACACAATGTTACGCAAACATTATGCTTTTCTTCCGAAATAGTTTTTTTTTTTTAATTAACAGTAAAGGACTATTTTCCACACCTTCAAGGCGTATTCATATAAATTAAAGACCAACAGCACTTGGTGGGTGATGTGGTCAGCATCACGTCGGCCGTCTTTACTTCCCTGGTCTGAACCAGGTACCCACTCAAAGCTGTGTCGACCTGGGAGCCAAGGTCACTTTTTTTTTTTTAAACGGCTGGCTCCCGTCAAGAACCGAACGCACGACCTTCCGATCCGCAGGCGTTAGACCACAGAATATGCGGCTGAGGTATATTCAATACTTGACCTGGTGAGGTTAATCCGTATCCTTTACAGGACGTTGCAGGACCATCCGCAACAGCCCATGGCTGTTGTGTGGTTTTTCTAGGCAAATTTACGTCCAGTAGTTTGCCATTGCCTTTGGACGGTCGGCTTTCTTGATACCACTATTGAAACAAACGCAAGGCGCATGGCCCGCAGCTGGGATCGAACCCGACATACTTGACCTGGATGCTTAATATTTAAGTTTCCAAGAGGATCTGGCAACCCGCCAATGCTCAAATTGCGGGGGACACAAGAAGAGACCCACTGCCTCCCCAGCCAGCATGTCGTAAGTCAGCTAACTGGGACTTTCCTTCGACGTCAGAGTGCAAATGCAAGAGAGGCAGTGAACCAACAATACGCATACGAATAAGTAGGATCTGTAAAATGGATGTGCATGGAACATTCCGGTTCAGGAACAAGACTAAGTCCAGAGGGGGACAACAACCAGAACCTTCCGCCAGATTTTATAGCTGATAAACACGAGAAGAAGAAGAACAAGACGAGGACGCCAAGCCTCAAATAGCTTGTATCTTCTCCAACGCCTTTATGCCTTCTCCGCGTGCTCTCTCTCTCTCTCTCTCTCTCTCTCTCTCTCTCTCTCTCTCTCTCTCTCTCTCTCTCTCTCTCTCTCTCTCTCTCTCTCCTTCGTGTGTCCGGTGACTGACTAGTTTCCTGTGTAAACATTTGTCAATATTCTACTTGTGTTCATTACCCTCGCCATAAAATCTCTTCTTTCCACAAGATCTATTAATGGCCCGACCTTATCTTGGCACTCAGATCCCCGTTTTCACTGCCATTACTTTGGCCGCCTTTGTTGGCGCGTACATCTATCACTTCCCACACTTTTTTTTTTAATTTACCATTTAAGTGGTTTTTAAATGCTGTTGTCATTATTCTATAACTAATGGCTCCGTATTCAACTAGTGCTACTTTAGACAGCATAAGAAGCCCTCTACTGGGGGCTGCATATTCATGTGTCCGTTCTGACAACAGCACGGCTCCCATGTGTTCACATAAGTATGATTCCTTTTACTTTCGTCCACCTCGCTTTGCATAGTCCCAGAAAGATAATCTAAAGAATACTTGATTTCCGCTACCACTTGTGTTGTCCTTTCTTTCCCAGTTCATCTACACAGCTGAGACATCCGGGGTGCCAACTATGGAGAATTCCTGGGTTACAGGAGTTAAGTCAGCGATCCTGGCTCTACGGTGTATCAGGCAATTCTGGAACATTGGCGAAGAGGAATATCTCAGGATCTGATCATGAATCTAGCACCATACGCACTATGCCCCACTGGCCTTGAGGCTCCTTAACTTCACTTACGTCAGTTCACTAACAGTACAGCACATAAGAGGTCCGGCTCGGGTTAAAGCCTAGGTTGTTGGTGATGCTTCATACCCAAGTACTGTCAATGCTTTTCAACCTAATCCTCAGACGAAGCCGTTGGTAAATCGACTTCGTCCCGACAGAAATGCCTTTTGCAACTCAACCTAATCCTCAGAGTAAAGTCATATGTAGCTAATCTTAATCCTCAGAGGACAGACATTTGTAACTCAACCACACATGGGAAGCTTTATGTAGCTCAGCCGAATCATCAGAGGGAAGGTTTTGTAGCTCAATCTACTCCATAGAGTGAAACATTTTGTGGCCCGTTCTTATACCCAGAAAGAAACCTTTTGTAACTAACCTTTTTTTCCAGACGGAAGGCTTTTGTTGCTTAACGTAACCCACAGAGGGAAGCTATTTGTACCTTCGCCAAATAACCAGAAGGAATGACTTTTGTTGGGTCGAACTATTTCCCAGAGGAAAAGCTAGTCTAGCTCAATCCAATCCTTCTAACGAAAGAACTCTTTTGCAACTAGAAGTCTACTGGTTCAATCATTTTCAAATGCAGTTAGCAGCCATTACATTTAAAATACCAGACACACCTTTCACCTGTATAAAAGCTCTGACTGACCCCAATAAAAAAGCATTTCACCAATAAATGTGTTTAATGGACACAGTTAGGTGAGGCCATTAGTTTCATGCACTCCAGATCCAACCACACAAACCACAAGAGAGATCCTAATTGTTTCAGACGTCATCGAATCAAGCGAAAGTGCTGGTACGTCACTGACAGACACACAAGCATTCACACAATCCGAGGATGACAATCAAACACGGTTTCATGCAATGTTGACTACTGGCTATAAATAACCAGCGACTTCCCGTTAAACCACATACCACGACTGGATCTATACGTGGGCCCTGATTGCCGTTTCATGAATAATGCCAAATTTATATTTAGACGTTCATGAATGAACATTTTGAAACGTCGATAACAGGCCTTCTAAGCAGTGATAAGGCTTTCTTCATCTTCTTCTTTTCCTTACTCCCGGAATGCTTTGCGACATTAGGACAGGAAGAGATCTCTAGAACGGGCCCTTCGGTTCGCTTCGTATAAAGCACTTTTTAGTCTGATATTTCTGTGGTCCATTGTCTTCGTGGTTAACCTCTGGCACTGTTACCATTGTATCTGTATAACACTGCTCTCTGTAATGCCCTGAGTAGGCTTTCTTGCAAATGCTGAGCCATACACTAACAGTTTAGTTTATCACTAAAGGGTGTATTTGTATAGTCAGCTGACAGATTATCTCAGTGCATATCGGAGGGAAATCTCCATACCGCCCCATAGTATGGGCGAAAAAAATCTTAAAGGGGATTATATAAATTTCTGTGATTTTGCAGACACATTTTTTTTTATTTTTTCTTTTACTCAGAATTCAACGATAATGTATTTCATTCCATCGTCCACAAATTTGAAAGGCATATATATTTTACTTAGCCGGTGTAATTAAAATAAATAGGTGCCTCAGGGCTATATATCTTAGGGCCTCATCAAGTTTAAATCCAGCTGACAAAACATGGTCTCTAAAATCCTGCCCATGCTTTGTGGTATGGAGAGGAGGAGCTTTACCCATGACCTTGAATGGTCTGGGTCGCCATGGACTGTGATTACCGTGTCTCTAGTCAGCACAATTTCTTTAACAAAGTGCTAACAACCATCATGCCCACAGATTAATGATTATCACAATGGGATTTCATATTATGTATGTTATTATATCTTTGGAGATAATGGGCCCAAGTCGACGAGGGATCTTTCTACTGATGATCGGTGGACCCCTGCTGCTCTTTTTGGTCATGTGATGATAGGGAGACACTTGAAGTGACAGTAGGACAACTTGGGGGAAGGGGGCCGAGAGAAAAATGCTGGACATTTTGACATCCTGGCATGGAGGATCATCTGTATCAGAGTTGACTGGAAGTACACGAGACAGAAGGTTGTGGATAGAGGTGACTACTAACCCAACACGGCACGGGCTTTGAGAAGAATATTATGCTTCAGTTTCTGAGCAATTGCTATGTTTTTATATAGGTGCATTAGTCAAGCATGCAGTCATTTTGTTAACTAATCAACGCCAGTAAACAACAATGTCAACTTTTGATGGTAATAAACACACAAACTGACAATCAAGCATCATGAAAACATGATCGAGCAAGACTCTATAACAGCGTTCCCCCCCCCCTTTCCAAGGCAACAAAGGTCAGCACGACCAAAGAGTGTGTTGAAACCAGCCACATACTGATGACAGGTCCAGGTAAACCATTCATATACACAAGATTCGCCACCTCGCGGTTTCAGTAAACAATGTATTCCTTGTCAAAGAAACCTGTTTTTTTGAGGACGCATTCATATCCTAATTGTTGCTGAATTACAGCACCGTAACCTAGAATACAGATTGCATACATGAATTACTAAGCTTCCTCCCTCGCTGGCTTCTGCTCAACCTTTCAAGCTCTGGTGTGAACATCTGTTGTACAGATGCTGCTTACTTACTCGCAAGTAGTCTGAAGTCAGCCTGATGTATCCACGTGAGCTCCTTCTGGTGAAATCCACTCCGCTAAAACACCTCTGGGATGCCACACCACCCACTTGAATATGACTAACTCTGCATCTTAACATGTTTGGTCATGATCACAAACACCTCCCCCCCCCCTTTTCCATCTGTCTCCTCCTCTTCCCAGTCGACCAGGAAATATCCTAGCAAGTAAATAATTATCGCTGACATTAACCATAAAATGCAGACAGGTGTGAAACTATGTGTCTTGTAACACAAACCTGACATTCTTATGGCGGGCAAGTTCTTTAACTCTTTAATGACAGCGGTTTCACTGCAAATGAAGATGATCTTCTTACCTGCCAGACTCCCACGACAGCGTTCAATATCAAGATGGTTAAAATTACAAAAGGCTCCACGAAAGCCGTCACTTGTTCGTCGCTCTCTTCAAACCAGGCTAAAACCTGCGGAGAAACAAACATATCACAATCAGACCAGCCGCTAGGCGAATCATAATCTTTACAATATACCATAATCTTTACAACATACCATAATCTTCCCACCATACCATAATCTTCACAAAATATCACAATCTTCACAAAATATCACAATCTTCACATAATATCAAAATCTTCACAAAATATCACAATCTTCACAAAATGTCATAATCTTCACAACATACCATAATCTTCACAAATTATCATAATCTTCACAACATACCATAATCTTTACAACATGCCACAATTTCCATAACATACCATCATCTCTACAACGCACTACCTCCCCTGTCCGGTACATTACCCTCTTCCGGAATCACACGTGACCAGTAGTTTCTACTGTAGATATTCCTCTAAGACTTATTTATGGCTGATTTTATGTATTCTTAGCTACAATGTAATCTTCTTCTTGTTCACTGTCTGTAAACCCCGGCAGAAAGTTATGGGTGTTCATCCACCTCTGCACATTAGCACTTACTGTTGCAGAACATGACCGTTCCATTTCTCACATCTGGCTCAATTGTATGCAGATTCCTTGCCTCTCAGGCAGATGTACTCCGACTTGGAATGAAGCACCCAAGTAGTAGACTACTATGACATGCTTGTTGAGGAAGCAGTGGGTGTATTACTGCCCCCCCCCCTCTCCAGACCCATTCTCCACAATAGGGCCCGGGGACACACGCGGAGAATAACTAAATCAGTGTTCGTTTGTCGCAAATGCTGAGAAAGGCATACTAGCCGCGACGTTTATTTTAGGTTGGTGATTGTGATATATGAAGCTGAGTAGTTCTACTTCTAGTTTAAACAGATTTATTTTTTTTACGAGAGAAAAAAACAATAACATTAAATCAAATAGGAGCTATATCAAGAACCCTATACTGGCGCCAGAAGTCTATTCTCTATGTATATTTTACATAGATCCTGGAGCCTGGGGATTTGTTTCACCAGGATATTAGCCACTTCCTTGTCAAATCTCTAAGTACGGCATTAGAGTCTTGAGCGACTAGCTGGCAAGGGCCCTGTGTGTGCGTGTGTTGACGTTTCCGAGGTTTAATTTTTAATTCAACATCCTGGCCACTAAGGCTGCATAATCAGCGAACATAACCTAACAAGCTACCATGCGCGCGAACATATTCTGTTTTCTCACATGGAAATTAACCATAAGAGAAGCAGACATAGGGTATCAGACTTCAATTGTTTAAGTATGACCAACCAACACGCAGCCAGTACACCATGCTTGCACACAGATCTGGCATGTGTTACCGCGACCCACCGCGGCAATCAAGACGACAAAACTAACAAATTTGTACGAGACACAAACAACAAAATTTGCAGGGCACCAGAAGCCTCTAATGGCAGTAGTGAAGCGTCGCAGGCTAGCTTGTTTCGCGCACGTGTGGAGATATGATTAGAGTGCAAAGAATATACCACAAGGAACACTACTATCAGTGGCAGAAATCAAGACCGAAATGCCGTTCCCAGATAGCGGGGCCGTCTTTGAACAGTCCTGTCTGACGGGAAATGGGCTTATGGTTACGACTGGTACTGAACGAAACAGAGTGCTCGGGGACAGATACATGTCCAACAGAACCTGGCATGGACTGTAAAACTGATTCAGCTCAGTGTCAATATGCAGGTTCCTCACAGAACGTCGCTCTCGTCACGGCACTTCCAGAAGTCTTTCTTTCTCTAGCCAATTCTTCAGCCCTATGTGCTTTAACAGCCAATGCACTTCAATGTGTTGTATCAACCTTTGCGAAGGTTGGCCACTAATTTGTTTTCAGAAACTGTACTCCCCCCCCCCCCCCCCCCCCCCCCTCCCCCCAACACCTTTTTTTTTCTCAGACCACCATGACGTTTAATATCTCAAAATACCGCACCTTTCTGGACCGGATGTCGTTTATAAGTCAGTTCTCCCCGAGGCAGAGCTGAGCATTAAATTATACGGTCCTATTCGCGTTTCCCGGCCTATCTACACAATGGCTGGCCTTTTTTTTCATGTTTTCTCAGACTGTCCTACCTCAGAGGGGTGTCACTTTGTCTTGCCTTCAACTACATCGGCGCCGATGTCGCGTGTTCTATAATACCCCACAAGAAAGCTTTTAACGACCCCAGAACATGTAGAACTGACACTAGCCCAAACCCCCCTACACCCAGCCTGAGCCTAGGTCCCATGAGATACTTTTTTCGAAGAAATCAGTACAAAGTGAAACACCTCCGACCTAGACTAGATTGAGAAAGCGTAAAGATGGGCCGGAAAACGTGAATAGGACCGAACATACCCCTAGCGCGCACTAGAGAGAGAGAGAGAGAGAGAGAGAGAGAGAGAGAGAGAGAGAAAAATCTAGACATAGCAGAGATGTTTGTGTTGCTAAAATATGCACTCGTCAATGAATGACCAAACAAATCTCTACAGTAGCAGCACGGCCGGTTGTTGTTTGTTTAGCCATCACGAGGGAGAAAATCAATGTAACCCTAGTGTTGAACAACTGCCGACAACACGTACTGTCAACAGAGACATAAGTACAGGCTACTACTGAGTAGGGTCAGATAAATGTTCACGGGTGAGCACGCATGAACAGTTCCTACCAACCCACCGTCAATCATGTCTTGGCTTGATGGAGCATAGACACCCATCCACAGTGGACAAGGAGTTACTGCTGTAACCACAGGGCGCTAGATATGATTGTTGCAGGGCTGAAACCCCCCCCCCCCCCCTCCCTCCTCCCCCAATGACCTTGGATAACAGGTCAACCCAGCTCTAACCGGGTACCAGGTAAAAGTCATGCGAAGGCGGTAGGCGTGATGCTGACCACATCACCCACCATATGTCAATTGGTCTACAACATGCAGGTCTCACCATACATGCACGGTTACGCATGAAGGCATGGAAAACATTCCATGACTTTACTTACATAGGACTGAAGTCGTCATATGTGGCTTATGTGTTGTTACGTTAACAAAAGCCGCTTTGTCATCCCGAAATAGCTGGGCCCCAATTCCAGATGCACACGACTAGTCGTGGGCGTTGACTCTGACAATCAACAGTAGAGTTGACATCACAGCACTCGGGGCATTTCCATGAATGCTCCGTCCTCATCTTCAGCAGCCAGCGTAGAGTTCCAATACTGATGGTACCGGTCACAATCTGGTTATATGTCCGTCAAAGTATGCTCACTACCCGTGACCTTTCCAGTAAAGCTTGCTATACTGCTTGAAGCGTCCATCTTTACCTTTCTCAGCATGCTTTCAAAGTCTGTTACAATCACAGAATGTGTGTGCATCTTGATCTCTAGCCAGCAGAATGTTGCAGTTACCGCCTCCACCTCAATTCTCATGCTAGATGTTGTGGTGTCGTATGCTACGCTGTCTTGCACTAAAGATTATTCATTGGCTTTCGCTGCCAACCACCACGTACTTTTCTCTCCTCTTAACACCAAACCATCTGTATAGATAATCAAATCATCTGGGCGTGAATTGTCGTGAATCAACTGTTGGACTTCCATCTTCGTAGCACCCTCTAGCCACTCTCTGTCCATCCGGCCCAATCAACACTAAGGAGAGTGAACCATCCAGGAGCAATGGCAAACTACTAAATGTAAAACTGTTTAGTAAAACCAAAAGTCACAAAATGCCAGAGCTAGTTCAGTGATTTTCTGGAAATAACACGTATTTATGCTGTTGAATGCGGTTTTTGGGATGTGTCTCTGTTGGGTTCTCGTCGGAATAGTGGCTATGAATGTGTGCGTGTGTGCTGGTAAATTTAGTATTTAAAAAGATCTGAACTAATGTTACCAATGAACCAATATCTAACAGATCGAGCCAAAGACGACTATATCCCCTCTTGACCAACACACCGTCAAGGGTAGATAACCCATAATCGTATACAGTACATAACGTCATGGAAATCTCTTGTAAAATTAACCTCGTTATCAGGTTTATACCGACTCTGGCATTCCTCTCTCAATGGATTCCATGGAGGGGGAAGGGGGAAGGGACGGAACTAGCCGCTTTGACATAAATGCAATCTGCTTGCGGATCACCAGCGGATGTGTGCAACCGCGACAAAGAAATACTGTGACTACTAATACAACAGCTGTACATACAGGAGTGATGCCGCAACGTTAGCCTACATTTAAAATGTCAACCAGGATTCAACAGCAACCATCATGGCATCTTTAATAACTATGTGGAAGTAGCATTTATCCCAGATCAGGTGAACAGGTATCTCATTTCGCACATTCAGCAATGCAGTATTTTTCTACGCCTCAGTGATGAAAAAGGCCACTGAATATATTTAAAACTATGATGGAAGTTTCACAAGTCGCTACAACGGTTATGACGTTATCTTCACCTGATCAGCCCAAAGGAGAAACTTTTTTTTTGGGGGGGGGGGGGGGGGGGGGGGGGGGGGGGGGGGGGGGGGGGGGGGTAAACGATAAAGCGTAGGCATACATTTGTACAGTTGCCAAACTAAACGGCCCAGACAAAATCCTTCTCCTTAGTTGTGAGACGCCTTCTAAAAAAAAGGTCGACTATATTACTTAATGCTGTCTCTTAAAATATGACCAAGTGAGGCTCCAATCTCTTCCACGGTGTGAAATCTCGTCTCGTCACCCGGAAACAACGAGAACCGTCTAGGGGCGGAATTAGGACCCCGGAGGTCGGGGCTCAGGAAATCCTTTAGGGTATTGGCTAAGCTCTAAATGACAGAGCAGCCAGACCAGGTCGCCACCCAGACTGTAGGTATAGCATGAGGAATCACCTCCACGCTGAGCAATAATAAACAGCCGTCTGTGTATATTATGCAGTGTTAAAACAATCCCTGTCGATGATCGACACTGGGCCTCATTCATCAGATACTTCACATTTCACTTTTAACTAAAACAAAAAGGGGGTGGGGGGGGGTATGTAGAGTGTGAGGAATTAAAATGAGCACCTCGGCTCATAAAAAGCCGTAAGGCGTC